CCAAAACAAACTCTTCTGCCTACATCAGTTGCATTTTGATCTGCTTCCGGGGAAAAACAGTACAACACTATTTTATTCCTCATAACTGAAGCACACTTAAAATGGTTGGATCACAAGGCATCCCAAAACAGTTGTTCTGTATACAGAACAATTCATGCCCAGAATGTTTTATGCATCCCTAGTTGTAGTGCTTATATTAGGCACCTCCTATATGGATACCTCGATGCTCTAGAACAGTGATGGCGAACCTTTTAGAGACCGAGTGCAACCCAAAACCCACTTATGCATCACCGGGTGCCGGGTGGGTGTGGCTCATTGGCTGGGCGTGGCCAGCTGGGTGTGGCTGCGGTGGTAATGGCAGACTGGGTGGGACTAAAAAGTTCAATCAATCAATTCCAACTTTGCAAGATTTTTTTTTCCCACGAGAAGTTGAAATTGACTGATTGATTGAACCTTTTTTTTTTTTTGCACAGCCTCCACTGCCCTGTGTTATAAAACCCAGCTGAAGGCCTAGAACTGGGGCGATGGCGCGCATGCCCACAGAGAGGGCTCTGAGTGCTGCCTCTGGCACCCGTGCCATAGGTTCGCCACCACTGCTCTAGAAATAAAAGACAATGTAGTATACATTAAAAAGAACTTCACAATAATCATTTTGCAGCAGCTGTTCAGAAGAGAGCACAGAGAACTTAATTTTCCCAGAAGATGCCCAATAGGACACATTAGTGGATTGCTTCAAATGCTATTACCAAAAACTGACCTAATCTAATGAAAACTTGTAAATGAATTTGTGAAGAACTGAAAATAAGAGCACCAAAATTCTTAACACAGATCAAATAAACTGAATATTCGATAACAATGCCAAAACCTATTTCTATAGCCTTGAATAGTGCAAAGAAAAATATGTTTTATTTCAGGTGGTGTGAAAGTTATGTAACCTTGAAAACATAAAAAGGAACTAAATGACAGTTTGTTAACTATATTACCCTCATTAAAACAATCCATGAAGCATTCCATGTGCAGGCTAATCTATTCTGGCAAAAGTGTTTTGGAGGAAGTGAAAAAGCTAACAACGGTAGCTAAGTGGTGGAAGGCTAATGGTCAAACCACCACATAGGATGCGCAGAAGAGAAAGTGTCAAGTTACCAGGTGGTTAAAGGAAGGTAGGGAAAGGAAGACCTTGAGAATATCAGCAAATGGGCAAAGGCAATGGCAGGGAGGAGGGGTAAGGTACACTAGTCTTATTCTATTCACTCAGTAAGATGCTTCCAGATTTTGTTTGGCCTAAAACAAAAAGCATCCAAAACATTCTGAGTTTCAGTTTTACGAAACCCAAGCTTACCCAGCTAGGTTGACAGAACTTCTAAAACACAATGTGTCTACTTCAGGTTTGAGATAAAGCATATTTTTTCTAAGTGAAAAAATTGAATTCAAGTTACATCAAATACAAAGATTTTATAATTAATTGATTTAATTTGAATATAACATGTGAATTCCTTGACAAGGAATTGCAAAGCACCTTATGTCCTGTATATCCATAAAAGTATCCTAAATCATACAAGGAAAAAACCCTCCTCATACAAATTTTAAAGCACATTCATAAAAGGAAAAGATTTAAAATCTATCTGCTCATCAGTCATATAGTTGAGGCTTTTATACTTTAGGATTTTCAGGAAATATTGGGACACAGTCTCAAATAGACTGTCAAAGTACCAGAGTTAGTAAAATAAATATTTGTTCTTCATAAATCATGTTTAATCATTATCAAAAAGTTCTATGAGGTCACTTATGGTTATTCCCCATTTTAGAATGAGCCACCTAAGCAAAACTAGTGCCATTTTAGGCATTTCCTGCTTCAGGCCAATTCCTCTTTGCACGGACCACAGTATATCTATATATAAAGGTACAAGCAACATATTCTAATCCATTAGACAACCCCTCCCCAAGATAAAGCACTACACATTTACGCAGATCCTGAATATCCCAGCTTCCTTTGCTTTAAATGTATTATTTATTAGATTTAATATAACTTCCCTGTCAAGTAGCCTCTGGATGGCTCACAGAGCATAATAATTAAAACATGCATGGCATTATTTTTTTTTTTGCCATATTACATGCATGGCAAGAAAATGCAAGAAAGACAGAGGAAAAAAGCAAGGAAAGAAGTGTGGGCTAATCTTATTAGTGTTTTCTATTTCCTAAAGGAACGTTTACATTAATATTAAACACAGTTGACAAAGGGGAATGCCACATTGCAAAAAACATTGGGAATCTTTTTAGAAATGAAATTCAACATGGTCTAATCATATAATTGATATATCTTATTAAAATTTCCAAGATGGTATGTTATGTTCAGCTTCTCAGAATATGAAATACTACCTTTTTGCAATACAATGTTCAGCATGCTCAATGAAAAAAAATGCAATAAAGGTAACCCAGGAATTTCAAAGTGTTATTTAAATTATAATAAAATCATATATCTATCTCCTCGGAAATCTCATATTACATAATTAGTTTCCCAAGTAAATTGTTTTAGCAATGCAATCTTAACAAAAAAGTAGTAATATGATACACAATATTCCTATATTCAGCAAGGCTTGAAAATAAATTTTCACCTTTGTTTAGACCTAATGGTCACTACCAATAAATTAAATTCACAATTCATTATACTTAACATACTTCCCTGCTTAGATAAATTTGAAAAGAGGTTGTAGTATTACCAGGTCAACTACAGAAATGCTTCTAACCCTATTTTCTTGCCAGAACTGTGACACCTCAGGCAAACAACGTTCAACTCAAATATTAGTGTGGAAAATTATGTTCAGAATAATAGAAATCCTATCTCAGAAAAAGGTCCCTAAATATATTGCTTATCAAAAACTACAGAACTTACAACACACACTTCAATGAATTTTAAAAACGGTCAATAGAGTGGAAGTTATTTTTGGGATGTTTTTATTATGAACTTATTGTCTTAACTGTTTTAGAATTGTCACGCCACAGGGAGTCAACTTGGCCAAGACGAGGAGCTTTAGCAATGGAATAAATAAACACAACACTGGAGTGTCAAAGACAGCAGCACAAAGACCAAGATACAAGCAGCTCTCTTTCAGCCATTATTTAAACATTTCATCAGCCCAAAGTACAAAAAGAAAACAAGGTCTAGTTTCATGGCGATGAGCGACTAGAGTGCCAAATCAATTAGTTAACTACAGTGTTTCTCAACCTTGACAATTTTAAGGCGTGTGGACTTCAACTCCCAGAATTCCACAGCCAGCAATGCTGGCTGTGGAATTCTGGGAGTTGAAGTCCACATGCCTTAAAATTGTCAAGGTTGAGAAACACTGAACAGACTTCCTCAGTTCAAAAATCAAGATCACGCCTCGCAAGCTTTGTCAGTTGTCACTCACGGCAGGCCAATATCCTACTACGGAAAGCTACTGTTCACTTTCGGGGGGAGGCACACAAAAAAAACCCACAAAACCACTTTAAAATAAAAGATTCGACTTTTGCAGCCTTTCCTCGGGCCCGTCCGCCCCCTTTAACTTAAGGCGGCGCTCTCGATTTCCTGGTTCTTATTCCTTCCTCCTCCGGTGTGGTTGGAAAGGCGTGACGCGCTTCGACAACAACTCCGCTCGCTTTCTCTCTCTCTCTCGGGGGGGGGAACCTCCCCTATCCTCGATACCCACATTTCGCCTGCTTCGCAAACCGCCCCCCCCACCCCCTTTTCCCAACATTTCGTTTTGCACACCACTCCGAAAACGATCCCGCCGGCAACTCCTAGCACAACGAAATAATAATATAAGAATAATAATAGTAAAGTTGGAAGGGACCTTGGAGGTCATCTAGTCCAACCCCCTGCTCAGGCAGGAAACCCTATACCATTTCGGACAAATGGCCGTCCGGTCTCTTCTTAAAAACTTTCCAGTGTTGGAGCATTCACCGCTTCTGGAGGCAGGTCGTTCCACTGGTTAATTCGAAGCCACACCTGACAATCGGGGGGGGGAGGAGGAGGAGGATGGGGGGGGGAGCGGGGAGGAAGGAGGAAGAAACCAGCGCGCTCTTCGCCCTTTTATTGTCGCAACCGAAGAGGAAGGAGAAAGCGGGGTGGGGAGGGAGGAAAGAGAGAGAGAGAGGTTGGCTCTTTCCCCCACCTCCACCCACCCCAGCCCCGGAGCTGGCTTTTCTCCTACGGAGGACAAAAGGCCACCGAGGGACCCAATTGCAAAATGCGCGGAGAGAAGTTTGGGGCTGGCTTATGGGCGCCGGCCGGCCGGCCGGCCGGTCGGCCAGCCAGCCACACCTGAGGAAAGTTTGAAGAGCGCGTCTTGGTTTCGCCTCGCCTTCCTCAAAGGAGGAACCAACCAACCAACCAACCAACAACAAAAAAAAAAACAACCGTGGAAACCCGCTTTCTTCCTCGCCTACCGGGGAAGCGGCCAACTCGGGATCGCTCCCCGCTTCGGTGGGCCGAGCGAGGAAGGGAGAGAGGGAAGAAAAACAAGAGCTTAGGAAGGGCGGCGGGCGTGGGGGGGGCACTTCGTTCTCGAACTCCCCCCAAGTCCTAGTCCGGGTGAGAACTTCCAAAGGCCGCAAGCTTCCCTTTTTCAACCTTCTCCCCGCCCCCCGCCGCCTTGGGGGAGTGGACGATGAGCACTGTAGTCCAAAGGATCCGAGGGCGGGGGGACGGCACCCCCCCTCTCCACTCCCCCTCATTTGGTTTTTCTCGCCTAATTGGCTCCCTTCGCCGTCTTCCCCAGCGGCTTACTCTGCCGGCCCCGCCGCTGGCCCCCCCTCAAGCTGTGCGCGATGTTGGGCATCTCCGGAGCCCCAGGAGCCGCCGCCGCCGCCGCCGCCGAATGCAGGACGGCCACGCGAAACTGAAGGAGAGGGAGGGAGGGAGGGGTCCTTTCGCCTCCTCCTTCTCCTTCTCAGCGAGCGAGCGAGCGAACGGCGGGGAGAATCCGCCCGTCCGCAACGGCCGGGGCGAGGCAGGTACTCACCCATCCATGGCAAGACAGGAGGAAGGAAGCTGCGAGGGACGGGACAGGGTGAGGGGGAAGGGAAGGGAAAGGGAGCCGAACAGCCGCTCTCTCAGGAAGAAAACGAGAAAAGGGAGGGGCGGAGGAGGAGGCGGGGTTGCCGGCGACGCGCCTGCGCGGCAGATCTTCGACGCCCTGCTCGTCTCCGCCCTCCTGCTTTCCCCGCCCCTCCGCCGGGCCTTCGGGATCAGCGCGAGAGCGTCGTGGGGGGGGGGAGGGGAAGGGAGAGCAACGCAAGAAAGGTGCGCGGCTGGCTTTGCCGGCCGCTGGCGACTATGGTCGGACGGCCCTGCGAAGCGTGCCTTGTGCGCGTGACTGAACGTGCCCGAGAATGTGAAGAAAAATGCGAGAAGATGCGCGCGGCTGCCTGGGAGGTCGCTTCGCCTGAGCGCTTCGGAGGCAGCAACAACAGGCGGCAACCACAGCAGCGGGAGGGGGGGAGTGAGGGGGGTGGGGTGCGATCTAAGGGCATTGCTTTTTTCCCCTCTGGGCGTTGGATTTTGAGGATAGATAGATAGATAGATAGATAGATAGATAGATAGATAGATAGATAGATAGATAGATAGATAGATAGATAGATAGATAGATAGAGCAGACAGCAAAAAAAAAAGAATCCTCAGCAAAGAGGACAGAAATGTAGACTACAAGAAAACACATTCTTCTGAGTAGACAGCTTAAGTTCTGTCGCAACATTTATCTTGAAAGTTTTTCCACTGTTGCACTTATTGTCTGACTGAGTAAATTTTTAAAATGCGCTTTAAATTAAAATACGCGTAAGCCATTTTCACATTTTTGTATGCTTCCAAATCTTGACCGCTCACAGTATAACTAAGCATTGGAATATGTTAAACATACAGTATTTTTGGGTCTGCTACTAAAATGCAACAGAATTTTAAAGAAAAGAAAACTTCAAAGCACAGTATTTTCTTATAATTATAGTACACAACAATCACTGTTTAAAGAGACATCCAAGTCTTACAATTTGCGTAAGTCTTGAAAAGCCCTCTGCAAAAGCTGAGTCTTTAGAGGCTTCTGGTGGGCTATTGGAGAGGGGAACCACATTATTCCTAGAAAGCATCTGCAATGTATTTTTTGTAAGTAATATAATATGCTCACACTAGTCAACAAGAAGCAGTTTGAACCAACTGTGGTTTCCAAGTGGTCTTCAGAGGCAACCCATCCAAAGCACAGGGTAGAAGTTTAATCAAATAATGACACAGGCATGAGTCACTTGCCAGATCCTGCTGCTTCAGGAATGACTCCTGTTGGCACATCAAAACTAGGCAAAACCACTTCTGATCATGGACTTTATTGGCTATGAGTCCAGGAGAATTCACAAGTCGCAGGCCTGCTTCCTTGGGAATAGTACAATCCATTTGAGAGATCACACAAATTCTAGAAGAACAATAGCAAGACATTTCAGCTGTGTTGCTTATATGCTTTGATAAGATACAATACCAGTGGTTTGCAAACCATCCTGTCCTGGTTTATACAACACTTGTTTTATTTGCTTATGAGATGATTTTTTACACCACCTTAATCTCATTGGACACTTATATGTAAACAAGTATATACTGTAGCTTAGTCTTTGACTTATGAATAGTTGCTTAGTAACTGTTCAAAGTTATGACGGACTCCCCCCCAAAAAACATACTTATGACCTGATTTGAAATTCTAATAGCTGCCACCCATCTCTCGATTCAAAGTTCTGATGGCTGCCACCTCCCCTCCCCCCCAAAAAATGTGATTGCACTTCAGGCACTTGGCAACCAGCCCTCATTTATGGCCATTTGAGTATCCTGTGATCACATGACCAAGATTTATGAGGCTTTTTTTGTCAGAACCTGGCCTTTATTTCCAATTTCTGTCAAAAGCAGCCTGCTGAATACAGTGGCTTCAAGTAACAACCATGGTGTTTGCTGAACAACCATGGTGATTCGTTTAACGACTGCCACACAAATGTTGTAAAATTGGGGTTGGTCACATGATGTCCCACTTAATGACTGGCACATTTTACCATAATTCTGGTTGTAAGCTGAGGACTATTTGTAAACTATAATTTCCTATATTGTGAGAACCTAACCAATGAAGGCATCGTGTTTGAAAGCCTGCTGAAAAGTCTTCCAAGTTTTGTACAAGAATGCGGTTTAATAAAAAGATTCAAATGGACTAAATATTAAGATAAGTTGAGAAGTTTCTATGTTGTCATAAATAATACTGTCTATTTTTGCTTGCCTTGTCTCCATGAGATCGCTCTGCTTGTTTTTCAAATGCACGGGGAAGAGAATGCATAAGGATTTGCATAACCACATGTGAAAGAGCTATGAAGGCTGAAAGAAATGAATACAAAAACAAAGAAATGAATACAAAGACTGGCGTATCGCCTGATACGCCAGTTGCGCCCCTTTCTGGATCGTGACGCTCTACGCACGGTCACTCAAGCCCTCGTTTCCCTCCTGGACTATTGCAACGCTCTCTACATGGGGCTCCCCTTGAGGTGCACCTGGAGGCTCCAGCTAGTTCAGAATGCGGCCGCGCGGGGGATCCTGGGGGCCTCTAGATGCTCCCATGTAACACCTCTCCTGCGCGAGCTGCACTGGCTGCCTGTGGCCTTCCGGGTGCGCTTCAAGGTGTTAGTAACAACCTTTAAAGCGCTCCGTGGCAATGGACCTAGGTATTTTCAAGACCGCCTCCTACCAAACACCTCCCTTCGACCAGTCCGCTCCCACAGAGAGGGCCTCCTTAGGGTGCCGTCGGCCAGACAATGCTGGCTGGCGACCCCCAGGGAGAGAGCCTTCTCTGTGGCAGCTCCTGCCCTCTGGAATGACCTACCCCCCGACCTACGTACAACTACGGACCTGCGCCTCTTTCGCCGAGCCCTGAAGGCCCATCTATTCCGTGCGGCCGGCCTGGCATAGTTTGATTATGTTTTAGTGGGGGTTTTGTATGGGGTACTTTTAGAACAGGCCTGTTATTTAATTTGATTTTACAACAGAAACTTGTATATATTTATTGTGGTTTTATTATCGCCTGTTCACCGCCCTGAGTCCCGTAAGGGAGATAGGGCGGTATATAAATTCAATAAATAAATAAATAAAATAAATAAAAGAGAGCATCGGTTTTTAAAATATTTTTTAAAAATATTCTAACAATTTAGTTGCAAATTCTATACTTGCTTTGGCTTTGGGTCAAACAGTAAACATTGATTAATTGATTGGTTGATTGATTGATTGATCATGCTTGCATTTTTCATGTTTGAATACTACTCCAATAAAAAATTACTCTGGGCTCTGGGTATTCTTGGGGGGGGAGTGAATAAAGGGGCAAGTGATGTGATGATGGTCTCATGTGATGTCACCATGTGTGCACTGTCGCTTTTATACCATTTTGGCTAGATGCTCAGTCTATCCTGACATTTACACAGACTTTTAGAATGGATTCACACTCTGAACTCAGTTGTAACATTGTTTATGAGAATCTAGGCATTGCAATTTACAATACATACTGTAGTTTATGCTTTAGTGTTACAAATCCATTGTTGGATTATGCCCCCAAAAAATCACAATTAAATCTAGATTAATGTGTGTAAATGATCTGCCTGTGAAAGAGCAGCACAGATGATGGATTAAGAACCCTGTGAAATCTGTAGGATTCTTGAATCGACCATGAATAGAACTGTTGCAAGGTCCAACCATTATTGAGATGGCAGGAAACCTGATATATGAAAAGATTTCAAATGCATGGTAGTGTTGAGAATCAATCTGTATTCACATAACTTTTTGTCCTTTCCCCCATAAAGATAACCTTGCTGGATGTGAACATGGGGCCATGCATTTCTTGAAATAAGAGGAGAGACTAAATGAATATGGAAATAGTCATCAATGTCATGGTTGTTTCAAAGGTGCTTTTTCAAAAGGCAAGTGGACTTTCTTTGTTTTTCCTTGAAGATGTTTCGCTTCTCAGCCAAGTAGCTTCTTCGGAACTGAACTGAAGAAGCTACTTGGATGAGAAGCAAAACGTCTTCAAGGAAAAACAAAGTCCAGTTGCCTTTTGAAAAGAACACTTTGAAAGAAGAAAGACTGTGTACAAGAGAATCCCATGGGCACTTAATTGCAGGTAGATGTCTGCCTTAGATCAAGAAAACAGAAGGAGATAGGAGCTTCAGCCTGAAACTATTTTAGTTGTTGAAGCTGCCAGTTCTGTTTGTTTTGATAAGAGATGCCTAAGCTTTTATGTAAGAGAGGAAGAATGGGGCCTTGAACTTCTTCCATCCCATAAATATATTAGTATAGAATGTTTCCCACAAGATTGCTTAGTTTTCAGAATGGCCAGCCTTTTTAGGGTTCTAAAAATCTGAATCCTATTTCTTTAGTTTTCTTTTTTAATTGCAGTCATGCTTTAGTACTCAGAATAGTTATTTTTTATATCAATGGGCGATAAATGTCCAACGAAGCAATCATAACTGTGGTTCACGCATCATGCTAAACCAGGATTTGTTTTAAATAATGGTTTGTTAAACCATCAATACATGAGCCAATGTAGGCTTGATTATAAGGCATGTACACAGTTACAGCAATAGCTATAAATATATGGCAATCATTTTTAAATTGTTTTTGATTTGCACCTGTGGAACGGGAAGAATACAAAGCAAGGCATAAATTCATGTGCACAGGCAAACCAGGTATTCAGACTGAGGGTTTTAGCATCATCAGATGGGCAATATTCTTAATCTTTTCAAACTATGGCACATCAAGGACATTCTGAACAACAAACAGACTCAAACGAAGGAAGTAGCTATGTATGCAGTTATCTACTTTCCTCTTCCCATGTTTAAAAGCATAAACAAACCTGCTGACATCTTGCTAAATAAAACACGGAAGAAGAGGTGCTTAGAGGTAATAGTGCTTGACCAAAAATTGTTTATGCTTTTTCAAATGGGATCAGTTCAACAATAACAGTAGTGTAAAGAGAAACATAACACATTTTAGAGATTAAAAACACTAATGCTTAAATTAGTAATCAGGGAATGCAACACCAGTCTTTGAATGGAATAT